CCCGTCCCCGCCGGGAGAAGTGGGGCCCGGGGCGTCCGCCGGCGCAGTTGCCATAACGACTGCAGGCAGGGCTGCCGTAAAAATAGAAGCTGTTACTTCTCCGCTGCTGTCCTCTCTGCTTCCCAGGGCTGCCGTGCGCGGAGTTTGGCCGCTGCTGAAGCCTCGGTGAAATTGTCAGGAGCGGTTAAGAGGCCGGATAAGGCTGAGCCTGCACCGCCAGGGCGCGCCTGGAGCAGAGCAACGGGCAGCGAGGGGGCGGGCAGCAGCGGGAGAAACAGGGGCCCTGTGGCAGGAGCTAGGGGGTACGTCCACCCCCTCTGCTCCCAGAGAGGCTACCAGCTTGTTGGGCAGCCCAAAGGCCTGTACGCAGATATCTCACACTGATGCACAGCTCATCCCAACACACACCATGCACTTCTGCCCCTAACCGGGGCCCCAGATGGGTGACCCTGGCCTGGACTCAGATCTGAGCTTTTCCACCTTGTGCAGCATAAACAGCATCAAGCTACTGATTACTATTAGCAACAGGCACTAAAAAAAGATTCACCTCGACCTGCATGCAGTGAACAAGTCCTAGTCTTGGTCATGTCAGTACTTTCAGGAGGGCTATTGCTCATCTAGAAGACCTAAAAGCTTTCTGCTCAGCTTATTTACAAGCTAACTGGATTTTTTCCAAGCTACCTGAACCTCCCTCCTTATCACATCATGGGCAATAGCAAAATTTGTCCCATCCCAGGAAAGCAACGTCACATCTACTTATCATGGTCCGCTCACTCCCTGCCAAGGATAGGGGTGGTTTGGAGAACAGTCTCCTTCCTCAGTGCCTGTCCTCTAGGGGTAGCCACCTACGCTACCTGTATGCCTCCAGGCAAGTGGCACCTCTCCACTTCGGAAGTCTCAGTACCTCCTTGAATTAGCACAGAGCTCATCTCCTTTGCATAGGGGAAAGCAAGGCCAGGATTTTTTGAGTTTCTAGAGGAGATAAGAACGCCCCCAGCCATGGCCTTACCCACCAGCTCACTGGCTCCCAACAGTCTTGAGCTGCTTTTAGCAGAGAAGGCCTCAGCTCTGGCAGCTGATCCTACTTCTAGGCTGGGAGGGTTCATTTCGCCTTCAGGAGGTCCCAGCCTTGTGTTTACCCTGCTCTTGGATTTCTGCTGTTTAACAGAAGTGTGTTAGGGAGTCCCTTAACCTTGCACCTGTAAAGGAATGACGGTAGCCGGAGTTGGCTACATGGAGGCTGTTGAAATAGCCATCTTGGTCTAGATAGGACGTGAGGGAGCTCAATGCTTATTTACAACTGGCCTTTGCAGCAGGCTTTCAGTGCCAGAAGAGACCTGGCTGGGAGCTCCCAGCTTGTAATGGAGTCCTTGCTCAGAGGAGCAGTGTTGTGGGTTGTTTTTTATCCTTCCTGAGCAACATGTGTGTTGGGCTGGCAAGTGGGGCCTGCTCTGCTCCCACAGCCACCTGTGTTTGTTTTTCAGTTTGTCTGATCCAGCTGGGCTGCCTGAGTCACTTCCCCAGGGGCTTGCTGGAAGCAGGGCTAGGAGGAGAGCTGATAGTCAGCCCAGACAAGTTTGGGTACCACAAGGAGGTTGGGAGGTACTGCTATAATATAGACAGAAGTGAGATCTTTGTTGCATTCTAACCTTTCCGTGGATGGACAAACCTGCCCCTGTCTGAAGGGGAGGTGAAGGCTCCTCCCTGGGCTTAAGACCTAGTGCCAAGGCAGAGCCTCCACAGCTGATTAGCACAGGGTCATCTCTCTACAGCCGCTCTTGGGACCGTTGAGGAATCACGTTTACTCCAGCTTACTTCAGCCTACTTGCACTGGGGAGCTGCAAACACTGTGCCTCAGACAGTACCAGCTCTTTTGCAGGTGCAGCTCACAGGGTCAGCATTGCCTTGAGAAGTTTTGGATCGTGCAGCCTGAAAGCAGGTTCCCTAACATGATGCTGCAGAGGTGCTACAGATTGCTTGCCCTGACAAACCTCTCTAGCCCCAGAGCCCAGTGCAGCCGAAAGTTTAAGCACTTAGGGAGCTGCAGGTGAGGGGGCAGAAGAGGAGAGCAAATAGGCCAGCTGCTCCCTAAGGGATGAGGAGCCAAGCATAGTAACATAGCCAGGAGGGCAGGACCTTGCCAGTCAGGGCCCAGTCACACAGTACCTCAGTGAGGCAAGCAGAACAGGTGTAGGGGTGGCAGCCAGGGTCAGCCAAGAGTCCAGGTCATCAGAATAGTTAACAGCAATGAGGCAGCTCTGAGGTCAAGCCAGGGACACAAGTCAGCAAATCAGGATCAGGCCTGGTGAGAGAAACCAGGGCCAGACACAGCCAGTGATCAACAGGCAGGTCCATGGTGATGGGGCAGAGCTGAGGCCAGGACATCAGCCCATGTGTCTAGATCAACAGCTGTCAGGATCAGTCACACACATGTATAGGCAGGAGCACGGCTGTGGCTAAGAAGGAGACCAACACCCCTACTGCATAGTTCAGGTAGGCAGTGAATGTCCCAGGCAGGGCTTAAATGGAGCTCCCAGGCCCATTGGCAGGGAGTGGGCTTGGAGGCCCAAGTGAAGCTGATCAGAGCCATTAAGGCCTATTGGTGCCCTCAGGGCCCTGACAAAGTTGTTCACCTGCAAGGGAGTTGGTAGGTAGGTTTGATCTGCAGCTTCTCCCCATATTAGTGGTTTCTGATATGCTTATGCTGTGTCCTGGGAGTCATGGACAGTTTCCAGCTGTAAAATACTCAGGCTCTTCTCTCTCTTATACCCAGGGCAACTCCACATGCATGAAGAGCATCATATTCTGCTACTGTGCTGTAGGTGGATACCCTGAGACAGAGCTTGATGCCACCAGGATGTCCAGCAGGCTTAGCAACCAAGGGCTGCGACAATGGTAAGGATCCCAAATCAGTGTCCTGCTCGTGCTCATGCGTGTGAAGACCTCCTACACATGGG